GTATGTGTATGTGTATGTGTATGTGTATGTGTATGTGTATGTGTATGTGTATGTGTATATGTATATATGTATATATATTAACATGTAATTTCTGACTGAAGAGCAGAAGCTAATTTGCTTCCCATTTTACTCAATGGCTAGAAGTTTTGATCAGGTGCAAGCAATTGAGTAAGCAGCTACGTATTTGTAAGACTTTTGATGGCGCTCATTCTTCATCTCTCAAGGTTCCAGGTTATCAGTAGTCTTGGCTACTTTCCTATGGGTTCCATACCTCTTGGATAAGCCCTGGTGCAGCTCCATGTTCTGGCACCAGGCTGTCATTGGGTGAACTGCATCCAGAGACTGGGGTGCTGCTGCTGCTGGGGGATGAATCTGTAGGTGGTGAGAGAGGACACAAGGGTTTGGCTACGGGACAGGCAGAACAAGCAGAGTGAAGGTCAAGAACACCATCCCAGAATCTGTAGCATGAGCACAACTGGTTGGGGAAGATGGTTTAACCCTGGAATTGGGATCATTCTAGGCTTGTCTTCAAACAAACTGCTTAGAAGCTCAAGGACTGCTATGCGGAGACCCATCACATCCTCAAGGGTGCCAAAACATTGCCCCAGGAATTATTTCAAATGGTCTATCTCTACCCCATTCTAACAACAAGGGGAACACACACTAGAAAAAGTCCCTCTCCACCAAATCCATTGTATGGGTTCTTCTTACCAATGGCTTCTGCCGGGCGCCTTTTCAAGGAAGGGGGGGCGCTTTCCTTCCGGGTCAGTGGGTTTTTGCGCCGTTCAGTCTTTTTAGCTTTACAGCGCAACTTCAGGTTGGGCTCAGAGGCTAAAAAAAAAAAAAATTACAGAGAAGAGGGTCAGAAGTGCTTGGAGCAAAAGTCCACGAAACTCGGCAGAGATACGTCTTACAGTGCTTAGCAAGACACTGCAGGGCGAGAATGTGGTTCAAGGCATTTGGCACCACAAAATCAACCAAGGCATTTGCCAACACACTAAGAGCATCATCCAAGACCACAGCAATGCAAATGATCTCAGGGAGATCATCCAGTTTATTTAGCCTCGTCTGTCTTTCGGATCAATGTCTTTCCCAGAGACTTTGGCACCTCGAGTATTATTTTCTACTTCTCAGGCTTTCAAACTGGATTTTAAATTAATGTCAATTCGTGTTGCTTTAGTATTTGAATGGTCACCTTGTGGCCATATACGGTGGTTTTGTTTTGCATTTCCTTTGGTTTTATTATATGTGTTTTACCCATTTATTTTAGTGCCTTTTATTGCAAATCACGGAGTTAGTTTTTGGCTGTTGGGGTGGTTTAGAAATGATCTCCCACTGAAGAAGTGAACTCAGGGAAAATGCTGGGTTGGAGAGAGGAAAGCCTGTTGAAATATTGCCAACAGAATGGTCAAAACAGACCTCTAAATGAAATTATGGGAAAACATCTGAGCTGCATTCCAACTTCCACTTCTCTTTTCACTGCTTGAAGGATGCAACGATTTTTATAACGTGAAGACCATTCTAGCCTTTTCAAGGGGTAAGCAAAAGACCCAATCCCAACAAGTAGAGGGCCTAGGACGGGAGTGTCAAACTCAAGGCCTGGTGGCTGGATCCGGCCTGCTGGGTACTTAGATATGGTCTGAGGGGCTGCGCTGGAAACGGTTCCACCACAAAACCGTGTTCGACTAAACTGCCCTCGACAAAACCGCGTAGCTG